CCAGGTGCTGATCGGACTCTTCCTCGGGCCAAAACTTCACATTATTTCTATTTGTCACTGACTCTACATCAGAAGCAGGAATTATGATCGCCGCCATATTTCATGTGTTTCCCAATATTTCACACTCATTTGAAAAGACCTCGAGTCTCTCGCACAGAGGATCTTTGTAATATGCAAACGTGTGAAAAGATGCTTATGTTTCACCAGATGCTTCTTTAAAAAGCCTTTATTGTGTAAATAATGTAAAATGAAATATAGGACAGCGTCAACATTCTGCAAATATTATGCAGTTTCACTTAGAAGTTGAAGATAGAGTTGATTGCTTTTTGTCGGTAATACTTCGATACTATATTTAAAATCCAGGCATTTCAGTTGTGGTTTAAGAAGCGAAGGCCAGATTCTCCAGAACTCAGCATCTTCTGTATTCATCTCTAAAGACGCTTCATTTACAGAAGCTTTAGTGGCTCCATCATCATGGCATTTATTTATGCATTTAGTTTTAATTCATTCATTTTGTTGGATTCACTTTTATTTTATATTATGTGATTCATTTTATCATTTTAAAATAACCTGTTAAACATGACATTATTCTGCAACCATTTAAGAGTTCTCTAGAGCCGCACTCAAGCGTGTAATATTCACATTTATGGGATTGTTTTTAATGCATCTCTGACGATAATGCTGTTGTTATATTGATGTGTTTATGAACTGTCAATTTTTGATTTTTAAAAGCACGTGTATGTGTAGCCTAGACAGGAGCGTCCCACAATGCACCGCTTCCCGGTAGCGTGTGTGTGTGTGTGTGTGTGTGTGTGTGTGTCCCGTCTCACGCTGTGTTTCTGCGGCTGTCCGTGGATTATCCTGTTCAATACCTGAACACACACTTGCTGTTGAAAGTGTTCTCAGAAGTGTTTCTGCGAGCGCATCTGTGATTCGGGCTCGTGACCGAGGGCTGAGCGACACACACACACACACACACACACACACACACACACACACACACACACACTCACACACACTGGGTCTGCGATTCGACACGTCCAGATGTGCAGCTCACGCCAGCGCGGGATCATTCAGGGTTTCTGCCCTCAAACTGATGAAGGAAATGTGTCTGAGATATCAGGTAATGCAGTCCGTCGGGCCATAAACACACACACACACATGCGCGCACACACGAGGCCTGCAGGACACACTCGTTCACACTTTAATTGGCCTTAAATGAGCTGGTGGAGCGAGGCCGGGTCAGAGGCGGTAAACTCTCTCTCTCTCTCAGGAATTACATCACCAGTTCCGGAGATCGAGTTATCCGACGAACTTCCACAGAACTCGTTTCCAGTTTTCCATCCGGGATCTGTTATTCGTGCACAATTTAACATCTTAAAAGTTATTCTCTTATTTTTACATTTTATAAAGGAATTTTTTTGTTATTATTTGTTCAATATTTTACCACCAACATGAAAGATTAGACTCATATATTATATTAATTTCTGTCCGATACATCCGGAGCTTCTTTCACAGTTTTCCGCCTCGAGATCACATCAGTTTCATCAAATGATAAACTTTATGTCGTTTATTATTGTTATGAGTTTTACTGAATCATCACTGAACTGAGTTGGTCTGAATAATGACACTATTGTCCTTTATACAACTCTTCTGTGTACTTTGAAGCAATCAGTATTGTAGAAATAAAGGTGATTTGTGAACATGGAGGCGTCTTCATTTCTGTGTTTCTGAAATATGTCATATTTTGCGGTGAGGACAGAAGGATGTTGTTCTTGTGTTAATGTTTGGCAGCAGAAATTGATAAATGACTTGCAAAAAGTGGCCAAAAAATAAAATCATACTCATTTATTGACCTTTGCGTGATCTCTGCCGGTCTGATGGACTGGGACGGGTTCAGGAGTGTCCCGTCGGGTGACGTTCCTCGACTCGCTGGAGCTCCACACACACGTCCACACGCCGCAAACATGATCTGTGTGTCGGAGGATTCTTGGGTCATAAGCGGAAACTTCTATTATCACGGCTGGAGTGTTTCTTGAGGCTGAAAAGGATCAAATCGCTAAAAATCAATGACCGCTTTAAGAGCAATCGCCCGTGTTCAGTTCCTCAAAGGATTGCGAGGCCGGATAACCGTGGCTTTCCTCGTCTGTGACCCGATACCATCGACGTTCTGTGAAACACACCGACAAATCCCGTCTCTCCATCTCTAATAGTGTTTCTGACCAAACCAGTGGACCTGGCTTTGATAATGCTTTACAGACCCGGAGTAACGAGAAGGAAAACTGGATATTAAACTGTAAAAGCTGCATATTTCTACACATTTCTACACTTGCCTCCGTTACACTCGTAACCTTTGCGTCTGCAAACATTCCCCCAGTCGGCAGGAGCTGTTCTCTACCTTTCCCACTGGATCTGCTTTCCAGAAACAAGAAGCATATATCTATTCAAAAGCCATTTAGTTCATTCCTTTCTCGGCCTGTAAACGCATTCATCAATTGTTCTGCTTTGTCGATGGCTTTCTAATGCTAATCTGCCGTGTTAAATATCTTTTTGTTCCCCTTTCACCATTTTGTCATTCAGTTTATCCAGTTTTGGTCACCCATTTTATTTATTTATGCGCCCGGCTCCATTCATGCGCTCATGTATTTTTTATTATGTTGTTTCACTGTCATCCAGTGTCAACTCAGTCTATTCAGTGTGGGCTACTTGAAGGACTCGCGGGACAAAGCGTGTTCACATCGAGCGCCATTCACTCGGCCAGCTGGAGCGCTTGGAAAAAAGGGGGGGAAGAAAAAAAACCTTGTGAAAAGAAATCCTGAACAATGAACACAGAAGAAGTGCACAATGCTAACAGTTTTCCAAATACCACTGATTGCTTTAAGCACAATGAGAGAAAGCAGGCGCTTTTTGCTGAGCTCCACTTCAACAAACAACAGGCTCACAAAGGCCTCGCAACTCAGGGTTTGTTCCCAGACAAAACCTCCTCGACTGTCTAAACGCTCCTGTGAAGGGAGACAAAGTTCTTTCAGTCGGGCCTCTTTCCCCGGAGAAGCGGAGCCGAGGGAAGAGGGGAAGAGGGAAAGAAGGGAAGAGGGAAGAGGAAAGAGGGAAAGAGAGGAAGAGGGGAAGAGGGAAGAGAGGAAGAGGAAAGAGGGAAAGAGAGGAAGAGGGGAAGAGGGGAAGAGAGGAAGAGGGGAAGAGAGGAAGAGGGAAGAGGGGAAGAGAGGAAGAGAGGAAGAGAGGAAGAGGGAAGAGGGAAGAGGGGAAGAGGGGAAGAGAGGAAGAGAGGAAGAGGGAAGAGGGGAAGAGCTGATTCTGGGGAGCGGAGACCTTCGACTGAGACGCTCTAATGTTGCTCGTTTCAGAAAAAAACTTGGAAAAATGCTTTAGTCCTTCACATATGCTACATGTTTTAGATTTCACTGTAAGAATTAAAGCATTTACGCACCAACAGCACATTTCCACTTTTTTAAACACTATAATAATTAAGGACAGCTGCATTGAAATGCACATATTTCAGTGGAAAGGCATTTACACTATAGCTACTAATATTAATAGTTTACTGCTGTTGCAAACAATAAAATATACACCAGGAAGCTGCTCTGGAATTAATAAAGGCTCGTTGTCGACAAGTTCTCCTGTAAACAGAATGTCTGCATATTAATATCACAGAGATTAGTCGGTTCATAAGCAGAGCAGGGTCAGCCCGACCGGAAGCTCCCGGAGAGCCGCGATCGCGCGCTCACAATGCAGAACAAAAGATTCAATTAGCCGTGGCGAAGGTAATTATCCCTGGACAGTCCAAATTAGTTTTGCATAATTGGTCTGAGCATATGAATTAACTTCTTAATGAAATCTATGAGGGCAGTGTACATTAAGAAGAACCCGACGCGGAGAAAAGACGAGATTATACTCGTCCTTTTTTAACAAGTCTGTCCATTTCGATGTGTCAGAATTAAAGAACAATTTAATTATATAAAATCCATTTATTTTGTCCTGTTTGGGCCTCGACTAAGTGTCTGAACGGTTTCGTTTTTCTGCTTGTATGGATTAAAAGTAGCGAAACTCCTCAGCTTTATCTTCCTTCCTATTCATGATGCGAGTTGTGATAAATCAGGATTTTGGCTCTTGATTACAAAGACTTGCTTTAGAATTCTGAGTAATTCTATTCAAAGCCCGAACAAAAGCGTCCTTTAGAGGAAACTTTACACTTCACCTGCTCCGACCGAGGAAAGGCTTTCAGATACAAATCTTGTTCAAGAACTACAGAGCAATTTCTTTTCTTTTCGCATTCGCTTTATTATATCCCCCTTGTTCAATAAATGAACGATAGGCATTTTAAGTACATATAAGTGGAATTATGCAAAACATATATAACATACAATTTCATTTCGAGTTAGTAAAAAACCGGACTGACTTCTTTACGTGAACGCATGATTGATCTGTGATGTAGAATAACCCTTAGAAATATCAGAAATCTTATTATTTCATGTGTTTCTTTTCATTAAATTACACTTATAAGTGCTTCTGTCTCCCGTTGTGCAAATATCAAGGGAACACGGCGTGTCCCACGGCCAACAGAGTTTCACTGACTGAATTAACAATAAATATTACATTTACATCCATGGAAATAGTAGATTCGAAACTCAAAATATCTGATTTCTAGTCCGAGAGCTCCGGTGTTTAGAGCACAAGCTAGACGTGGTTTAATAAAACTGTACACATTTACAGCAACATGACTGAATAAAAATTAAAAATTAAAAATGGGATTCTTTACGGTTGAGTTTCCAAATAAAACAATGCACTTTTTTCCTCCAAAATAGCAATGCATCCCCGTTACAGCATTGGCTGCGCTAGCGACACACATTACAGTCAACAGGTTATTCTCGCCGCGGAGCCGCACTTTTGCACAGATTTATTCACATTGATAAGAGCACTCGTTCAGCAGTCGCTCTTCATTAATTTCCACCTAATCATGATACAAACACACACACACACGTGATGTCTCGTTTATCACATGTTCAGCTGTGCTCCGCGTGTATTGCATGTAGTCATTCATTCATTTCACATTTAAAACTTCCCCGGTGTCCCGGGCTCATAGCGGGTACGGGTCCAGGCCCGGCTTGCCCAGCCCGGGCAGGAGTATATAGGCGAGCGGGGGCTGGAGGCCCGCGGGCGGCCACGCCGAGCAGGTGCACGGCATCATGTATCCCGGGTTCCCCGGTGACGGGTGTGTGTGTGTGTGCGCGTGCACCCCGGGGAAGGCCGTGCCCGCGCTCGGGTAGCCCAGCGGAGACGCGTAGGAGAACGGCGGCGAGAGTTCGGGCAGTTTGGACCCGAGGTCGAAGAACGAGTACGGGTTGGCCATGGCCGGGTTAAAGAACACGCGCGCTTTCTCCGCGTTGCTCATCAGAGACTCGGGCACGCCGCCCGGGAGCGCGCTCACCTTCAGCGCCTCGTGCTCGCCCAGGTTATATGCCATCGGGAACGCGAACTTGTCCTTCTTCATTAAAGTCTTGGGCTTTCGTCTGGGTCTGTACTTGTAGTCGGGGTGTTCCTTCATGTGCATCGCGCGCAGCCGCTTCGCCTCGTCGATGAACGGCCGCTTCTCGGCTTCCGTCAGGAGTTTCCACTCCGCGCCCAGTCTCTTGCTGATCTCAGAGTTGTGCATTTTCGGGTTTTCTTGGGCCATTTTCCGTCTCTGCGCGCGGGACCACACCATGAACGCGTTCATAGGGCGCTTGACGTGATCCATGGGCTTGGACATGATGCACCTGTGCAGGTAAAGTCCACGGAACTGGCACTTACCCACGGGAGATTAAAGTCAGCGAAGTTAAAATAACAAGGAAAAGCGTTCCGTCAGGATCAGTGCTTCATTCCGGCGCGCGCGACAAACAAGTCCAAGTCGAGCGTAATTCGGCTTTAACTTTCACGAAAGCAATGTTCTCCTCAGAAGCATTGTTGGTATAAATCCCGAAAAGTGTCAGATGAAGAAGAGATAGTGAAGAATCGGTGTTCCTCCTCAGCTGGGCTCGGTGTGTGTTTTCTTCAGCTGAGCTCGGTGTGTGTTCTCCTCATGATGAAATGTTAACTCGAGTGATTGTCAGCCGAGAGTTCAACATGTGAAGTAATGCGCGCACTGGCAGGTGCTGAAGGGCTTCTGCGCATGCGCACTGCCTCTGTCAGACCTCGCGCTCCACAATCCCACCCAGCGCGAGGACGAGAGTGAAATGATAAACTCACTTTGCTCAGAGAGAAAAGCAATCAGCATCGCGTGTGTGTGTGTGTGTGTGTGTGTGTGTCCAGAACGCGCTTTAAAAACAGCCTATTCTCGCCGTCCGCGCGACAACTTTACAATGACTGTCGACTTTTTAAATTAGGACATTTTAAGGCTGTAGTTTGTTGAGGTTTGTTTCACACAGTCCGAATTGTAAATTGTATTGTACGTTTTTAAAACAAAAGTTGTTGTGGTCTGGTGTATTTATGGCATACACATCTTTATTGTTTATAAATAATTTTAGAATTCTTTTATTTAGTCAATGTTCCGTCCAATGATGTTCCTAACCCAAATCTCTGGACTGTTGCTATGGTTACCCTCTCAGGTGATTCTGGAGCTTATGTAGTGTAAATACGCTTTTTGATTAATTTGCATTTAAACGGTTGGGTTTGGTTCAGTATTGGAATCACATTTAGCAGACATAACATAATAAAACACTCTTTATTTATGTAGCCTATATAAGCCTGATCAAGGTGCACGGACCTTTACAGAATGAAATGTTTTATTTAATTAATAATAAGAAAACGTTACATTTTGTGCAATAGTTATATCACACAATTACATCATAAAATTATAATCTGTCAAAGTGTGGCTGAACGGTCCAAATGAAAGGAAGTTAATTCTTTAATTTATCTGAATATTTTCAGTAAAACAGACGCGCATTAATAAGCACGAGGTGTTTATCTACAACACTTCTTCCTCTTCCTCTTCTTCTTCTTTCTCTCAGACTTCAAAGGATCCTCCGTGACCCGAGCATTAGCTCGAGGAATATGAGACTGCGCAATTACAGATATATCTCTGAGAGTTCGTGTTTGAGCGGATTCTGCCGCACCTTCTGTTCTTCCTATTATTAAAATCACAGTGAAAATCACCGCGTTTAACGAGTGGGAAATCATTTAATTGCAGAGTTTCTCGTGGGAACTGGCTTTACAATTAAACTTGTTGTCAGACCTTTTTTCTCTTAAATATTATTGCGGCAATACTGAACAGAATTTTTAAACAGAAATAATTGATCCTATTATTATTATTATTATTATTATTAGCTAGCCTAAATAAAAACTCAAAGCATACATAATTTACAGAGGTCGCACATGCAGTCTTATTATTAGAGATGATGCAACATAATTAATAATCATACGTTTAATAAACCCTATAAGGGAGAAACGACGATGCAGATAAGAAATATTAATGCAGATTTATGGTGAAGAAAGTCATGTGTTGAAAGACTAAAAGGCGATCCTCTTCATTGTTTGCATAAAACTGGTTTCCTCTGCATTATTCGGCCAATCTGCTTCTGATTTAATTACGCCTATCGAATGAGATTAATGTTGCACTATTATCGGCCTAATATGCATGTCTTTTGAGTCCAGATGATGACGAGTGTCAGAGAAGATGATTGACAGCTGAGACACTGTCCAACTCTGACGTGTCGACGTGTTTCCCGCTCGTTTCTGTGTGTTTCCGGTGCACGTCAGAAACAAGACGCTAAAAACAGATGATAAAAAAAAATAAAAAAAAAATAAAATAACGCAAGCCTATAACAATTCAAGATGAACACGGCAGCCTTTTAATTTGATGCAACATCTTGCAATGTATATTTTTAATCAAATGAAAAGAAAAAAAACATTAAAAACTAAGTGGTGTACAAAAAAAAATATTTGTATGAATTATAATTATTGAATGATATGCTTTCCAATGAGGGTACACACGTGTAGACGGTCTGACTGATATACAACAGAGTTTAGCTACAAAGCACATATTCTAAATGCTATAAATTCGTACTTTTATTAATATGTAGGCTATTGTTTTATCTATGTCATATGTATATATATATATATATATATATATATATACATACATATATACATACATATATACAGTTTAGGGTGCATCAAATTTGAATGGGAAATTTTAATTTCAAAATATCAATTTGGCTGGCATTGCATTTTGTTCCAATTAACATAAAAATGACTTTTGCAAAGTTTTAAGGAATTCAATTGAGATTTAGGGGTGCCACCTAACACATGAACTTTGGCGAAATTTCAATTTTTAGTCTAATTGCCAAAAGGTTGACCTGGGAATGTTGAGTACAGTGAACTTTTATACAGTAACATATTCTATAGGGTTATAAAAGTAAAAGTTGTTTGTTTGCCATTTGGGCAACTTGGGCATTTCTCAGAATTCAACTTTCAAGATTCTCCATTCATTTGTCCTATAGACAAAATGAATGGAGGTCAATGGGACATGTTCACGTGGCCTTACCCTGAATTTTGTGCAGCAGTGATGGATGTCGGATGGATGTCTAGTGGTTAACTCACTGGCAACTAACAGGGCCTAATGGTAAGAGCTGACACTAACCCAATTTTAAACTTAATTGCTCAGTCTGTGCCAGAGTCTGCTGCACTGAGCAACATCACCAGGGACAGAGAGGAAATGGAACTTGAACTCTGAACCTAACTAGTGCGTCTCCCCCAGATATGTCTCCCCACCCGCCACCCAAGAGTAACCGTCCTATTCAGGGATTGGCTAGGGATTGGCTTGCGTTTGCAGTGGCGAAGGTTTGGCTGTATGTTGCGGTCATGTTCAACTGCCCCCAGCACATTCTTTCCTTCACATTCTGCTCCTTCCTTGACACTGCGACGAAGTCGGATGTGAGCTTGACACCACGCTCGGCACAGTCATTGACCACGTTCATTGCACGTCCATTGACCTCACTGTGAAAACCTGGTTCAGGAGGACCTCACCAATGTGGTGCCGGCACCCAGACCAAAGCAGTGGTCGACCCAGTGAGAGCTGTATGGCAATGCAGGCTGCTGTGAGATGGCCGGTGTTTGACGCAGTGGTGTCAAATGCCATGTTGTGTCAAATGCCATGTTGACAACCTGGTCAGTGCAGCACCAGTCCTGCAGCAACTTGCATGTCAACCGGGCAATGATCATTCCACATGCCTCGTTGGTCTGCTTCTTATACGCTGGGACACCAAGCAGTTTCAGCCGCTCTGTATCTCCAACCACTACTGTAAAACGCACCTCCAACTGGCGCACATTGCTGAGCATCTGTGTTAACTTGCTGTCCCAGTGTAGGGTGCACAATGGAGGTGGTGTCCACTGCTTGTGCTGTTCCTCACTGATTGTCTCCAGCACTTGGTGTCTTGCTCGGTCAGTATTTGCGTAAGATGCAGAGAGATGTGTACATTCACCGCCTGACTCTGCAACAAGGCCACGCGTGAAGGCAGCCTGTTGCATTGGTGACATCTTCAACCTTGTAGCCAGAGACACGACACTTGGTCGGCTAAGGATGTCATGTGGAATGAAGACGTTTGTCCAGTCTTCTTATGCTTGTGGGATGGTTCGCCCTCAGATGGTGGATAGACTGTGTTAGTATCCTCCTGTCTCCTCATCACTCTCCGACTCCAAGCTGGACATTGCCGTCATCTCCTCCAGCTCCTTTTCACAGCGGGACTGCCTGGCTGCTGCGGCAGCTTGACGCTCCTCTCGCCTCTTGAGCTGCAGCTTTTTGTCCAATACACCAAGGGCCGGTTTCACAAAGATAGACTTTGACTATGGCTTATATATAGTAGATAGTCAGACTTCACATAGACATCTAAATCAGACCGTTGCACAAAGCGCTTAAGACTCTGACTATCTTAAGTAGGACTACACTGCAATGCATTCTGGGTAAAATAAGACACTTTTCAAAAAAAAAACATGGCGGATTGAGTAAGCGCATTCATCCGCTCAGTGCAGTATTACATATATATGACAGTTCCCGAGCTCATGTTTGGATCTCCAGGATCAGCAGTATTTCAGTAGTTTTGCATAAACTCCATGAACTTGAAGCAGCAGCAGAAGAAGTGGTTCAGGTCGGTTTACACTGGTCGTGTCCTCATGAGGAGATGATGGTGTGTTCCTCTACAGACGTTTACACTGGTCGTGTCCTCATGAGGAGATGATGGTGTGTTCCTCTACAGACGTTTACACTGGTCGTGTCCTCATGAGGAGATGATGGTGTGTTCCTCTACAGACGTTTACACTGGTCGTGTCCTCATGAGGAGATGATGGTGTGTTCCTCTACAGACGTTTACACTGGTCGTGTCCCCATGAGGAGATGATGGTGTGTTCCTCTACAGACGTTTACACTGGTCATGTCCTCATGAGGAGATGATGGTGTGTTCCTCTACAGACGTTTACACTGGTCGTGTCCTCATGAGGAGATGATGGTGTGTTCCTCTACAGACGTTTACACTGGTCGTGTCCTCATGAGGAGATGATGGTGTGTTCCTCTACAGACGTTTACACTGGTCGTGTCCTCATGAGGAGATGATGGTGTGTTCCTCTACAGACGTTTACACTGGTCGTGTCCTCATGAGGAGATGATGGTGTGTTCCTCTACAGACGTTTACACTGGTCGTGTCCTCATGAGGAGATGATGGTGTGTTCCTCTACAGGCGTTTACACTGGTCGTGTCCTCATGAGGAGATGATGGTGTGTTCCTCTACAGATGTTTACACTGGTCGTGTCCTCATGAGGAGATGATGGTGTGTTCCTCTACAGACGTTTACACTGGTCGTGTCCTCATGAGGAGATGATGGTGTGTTCCTCTACAGATGTTTACACTGGTCGTGTCCTCATGAGGAGATGATGGTGTGTTCCTCTACAGACGTTTACACTGGTCATGTCCTCATGAGGAGATGATGGTGTGTTCCTCTACAGGCGTTTACACTGGTCGTGTCCTCATGAGGAGATGATGGTGTGTTCCTCTACAGACGTTTACACTGGTCGTGTCCTCATGAGGAGATGATGGTGTGTTCCTCTACAGGCGTTTACACTGGTCATGTCCTCATGAGGAGATGATGGTGTGTTCCTCTACAGACGTTTACACTGGTCGTGTCCTCATGAGGAGATGATGGTGTGTTCCTCTACAGGCGTT